TACTTGAGGTCGATTAACACTGCGTATTCGATGTGCCTCGGAAGGCTAACGAGCTGTGTTGGCTTAGTGCGCGGACGCGAAAAGCCTTGCTCAATAGATGGGTAACACCACTTGGAGAATATACAGCGACGGATCGCTTTCAACAATAGCTGCACAATATACTCGGGGTACTGGCGCCCGATCCCTTGCTTCTCACGGCCGCCTACTTCAGGACGACTCGCCGACCTTCTCGGTCGTTTGGCTGTGGGGTAATGATGATGATACAATACGATAGGAGCTCTCCTTGAAGCTCCGGCTTGACTTGGCTGACTCACTCCAGCTTCGTTAACTTGATTTGCGCGATCGCAGTAGGCGAGGACGGGCTGGGAACGGATCCCTGTCGAGCCTAGAGGTAGGAGCACTAAGGGCGGACCTTATGGAATGCTGTGTGTACACTCTCTGTCTATCCTGCTCTGCTGCGCGTGTCGAGGTAGGGTAGGATTGCAGTCTTGTTACACCAAACAGTCCTATCAACCCTCCTATAATTATATTATCTTCAATAATATAATGGTCTATACGCTCACGAAGAGTTGCTTCGAGAGCCAAACGACAAATGTTTGGCCTCTTCGCACTCACATTTATGGCGAAGCACCGACTGATCCACGCCGGGCCTTATCACACCCGGCCCTACCCTGGATGCGTAACGCTCATCCGACTCACGACAGATAAACGACAACCTAACATCTTCAAATCATAACGGAAGCGCCTTATACGCCACCCAAAGTCTCAAATAAATCAACACGCGGTTCGCCTTACTACCTTCGGTTGGCTTAGCCACCTGCGGATAGCGACTAACTCGGTCGTGGCACGTAATTTGTGCGCTCCAGATGTTTTGGCGTGACACATAAACTTGATGACTGAAGCAGCCGAAGCTTGTACGATCGTCGCAACTGTCGTACACTCCATGGGCTGTGCAGGTGCTGTGGTTATACGACGCCAGGCTAGCGCAGGTGCCGGCTGGCCCACGCCACGTCCGCCACACGACAGCTGCCTGCCGGCGGTGGCGGCGGCACCGCCGCTGACAGTGTAAGTCGATGACAAGGAGGAAGTGCGCACCAGGGAGGGACATCCGCCGCCGCCGCCGCCAAAAGCCGATGTACGGCGCTTGTCTGACGTCATCACCTCCAGCACGTGTCTCGGAAAGACTTCTTCAAGGATGCGGTGCTGTACGGCGGGTGGTGGCGAACCCGCCGTCGTACCATCCATGAAGCATCAAGATCCAGATCCAGGTCCAGGGAAGGTGAGCCGATGAGAGCACGGCCCAAAAGAAAATGGGATCAAAGGCCACACAGTTCGTTTTGAATTTCATTCCGCAAAGCTGGAAGGTACACCATTCAAATCCCAACGGATGCAATAACATTTATACATATCGCTTTGGCTTTTTCATTTGTGACTGCACAACAAAGTTCTCTCACCTCAGCATCTAAGACCTGTCTAACCTCCAGCTCAGCCTGCACGTACGACGTGACGTCATGGAACGCGAGCACCAGATTCCATTCCGTTGAAACCGGATCCAGAACCAGGTTTGCTTGAACCTCATGCCAGCAGCAGTTGCTAACGTACGGCGGCGATGCACTGGGCAGAAGCAGTGACGGCGCCGCCGCCGCCGCCGTCGCCTCGGTATGCGCGAGCTCCTCTCCCGCCGTCGCTAAACTGGTCGTAGCACCGCTCGACGCAGAGAATCCTCGGAGGCCGCCGCCGCCGCCACCGCCGCCGCCGCCGCCGCATGAAGCTCGCACGCTCATCACGCTGGCGCTTAGGACTCTCCGCGCCGCCGTCGCTGCTGGCGCCGCTGCCGCTGCCGTACTAGCTACCAGGGCCGGCACAAACTTGGGACCCGACAACTGATCCGCGAGGGACGCATCCAAGCCGCGGGGGCTGCAGCACTGAAGGCCGTCAGCGCTGCCGTACGACCACCCGCCGCCGCCGCCAGCGAAAGCAGTGGTAGGCCCCTGGCCTAGAAGGCCCTGAGACGCCGCTGACGCCGCAATCCCCATGGTGCGGTAGCTACCGTCCAGGGCGTACTCCGTCTGCGCCAGGCTGTTTGACCTGTGAATGAGTGTACGGCGGGAGTTGGCCCAGTACGACAGCTGAGCTGAAGAAGGGCTGTGGATCAGGCCCAAAGGACCAAACAGTCCTGCACTGCCGCCGCCGCCGCCGCCAGCTGCGCCGCTACCGACGGACACCGAAGTGGATAGCTGCCTTGACGGCATCGTCAACGGAGAGCTGCCGTACAGCGACGTTCCAGCTTGGGCTGGGAATGTCTGGTCGGCGTTCCAGCTGGCACGGTGCGCCAGAAGGGTCGCCACGCTGACGGCGGCGGCGCTTCCGCTGCGGCGGCAAACGCTGCCGCCGCAGCTTGCCTCCGCCTCCAGTACCGACGGCAGAGGACGACTAGAGCTCGCAACGCTGCGAAAGGTGGGTGCCGAGACGTTGCGCGGCAGCTTCATAACGGGTTTGCCGCGGCTGCCGCTGTTGTTGCAGCCGCCTCCGCTACTGCCGCCGGCTGTGGCTGCAGTAGCTCGCGGCGGCGGCGGCCCTGTAATAGTGGCCACCACGTCAGGAGAGAGTGAACCGGCGGCGCTGGTGATGCGTTCGGCCGGCGGCGCCTGTGGCGATGGCAAGCTGGCGGACGGCAGATGCGATACCCAGCCGAATCCCCAGGAACCCCCGCCGCCGCCGCCACCGCTGTCGCCGCTGCCACAGCCAGCGGCGGCCGCGGTAACGACAGCTGTGCTCCTCTCCCCCACCCCTCGTCCAGAGCCGACAGGTACAGCAACCGCCGCCGCCGAGGCGCACGTAGCTGTAGCCGCCGTCGCGCCGCCACCGACCCGCGAGCCCGTGCCGCTCCCGTGCTGCTGCAGCTGCTGTAGCAGCAAGCCCACGACGTCCGTATCGGCGGCGGCGCCGCCACCGACTCCACCGCTGCCACCGCCGCCGTACAAAAGCCCCTGGCTCCATGGCATGCTTTCGGGGACGACGGCAGCGGTGGCGTCGGCGGCCGCACTGAGGGCGCGTTGGCCGGCGCATGGTGACGTGGACATGGCGGCGGCGCTGGCGGCGTCCCGCAGGCCCCGGAGATCTAGGTGTGACGGCATGCAGACGAGACCGCTCCACGTCTTGCCGGCTCGTACGGCATCCCACAAACTGTCCAGCGCTGGCGGGTCGTAGGCAAAGATCCGATGTAGCACGTGATCTGGATCCATCAGACCCAAACCAGGCGCCGCTGGCAGCCCGACGGCATTTCCCAAATAGGCAACAGACCTGAGGACGTGGAAGCGGAGGCGGCGCGGGTTTGACATGAACGTCGTTTGTGAAACACGCACACGCACACGAACGCCGTACGCACACACGCCACCCATTCGCACGGTATTTCCCCGAACTTTTTCTATGACGGTCATCCCGCCCAGCACAACACTTCATGTCGCTCTCCAATCACGAGCTTTCCTTGTAAACTTGATGCTTCTCCACCAGCTGGTCAAAAGTGGTGAAGAGGTCGTTGAGGAACGCCATGACTCGGTGGGGCGGAACCTGACCACACATGCTGGTGAAGGAGGCGATGTCTGTGTACGGCACATAGAGAATTCGAACCATCATCACGTAAATTACACGTGCACATGGGGTAGGAAGAGATTACTGAAGACACAACTTTACGAGTATAACAAAATATTAAAGAATTCAAAAACTTCAAGCATCCATTATAATAAAAAGGTAAACAGCTCATGGTGACAGTGTATTTTGTATATTATGTAAGCGAGGGACCGTGCGTCAGTTATGGTAAAGTACGGCAAACCGTTGTCGTCAGTTGAAACCGTTGTCGTAATACCCCGGGCGCTATGTCGAACCACCGCCACACACAGTTCAAACACACCCCACCGGCAACCCACCTGCGAACAGCACCGTCACCTCCTCATGCGCTCACCTCGCCATGTACTGCTGTGCGCCGCTCAAGGCTCCGAAACCACCACACGAGGGCGTGGAGGGTGAGGTGACGCTGTGACTGTGGCTGTAGCTGGAGCCCAATGCTGATTGCGCGTTGGGGAGCTGTAGCGGGCGGACAGGTGGCGGCGGCGATGGGAGGGTGGTAGCGACGGGGGCCGCTGGGCG